GGTCCCCTGCTATAGCCCACAGAGCCATTCTGGCGAATGGAAATAATCCGTGGAAGGCCTCTGATTGACAAGAGCGCCCCGGCACGCTAGCAGGAAGAGCACATCAGTGCAGGTCCCTCCGAGCAAACGCAAAGCAGTCAGGGCTAACGTGGAAGGCTCCTTAACGATCGAAATGACCTTGCAAGTGGGCATATAGGTCCCCGGAAACAGGATAGGACTCTGGACAGTGTGATAAGGCTTATAATTTACAACAAACAACTTTTTCCATTATTCAATATTTTTATATTTTCTCTTGAGCCATTCAATTTCATTTGCAACTCTTCTCGGTGGCCTGGAAATCCACAGAAATTTTGTTGTGTTTTGTGTTTAAAAAACTGTATCTGTTTGGTCACCTACAGCCCCCTTCGGAGCCTATGGGCCACTTCGGGTACCACGGGGGGTCATGGGCCCCGTGACTGCTCTCTCTGGATCCGCCCCTGACTCAATCAGTGGTGAAGGTTGGTGCGGGGGGAGGGGAGGCACAGCGGCCACGTACCAACAATTAAAGGACCAGACGGAGACCACAATGCCGCTGACTTGTATTGGTGCAGAAATGTGGCATGCACTATCATATAAATACCCGTAGAATTGCGTTCTCTGTTTCAGTTACACCTTGAGACACATACGACTGAAACGAAGAACACCAAGCCACCCGAAATTAAGTGGTTGAAGTCCGGTTATTTTTGTTTCGAGGTAGGGTCTTCTAGGCGACGTGGTTCACATCGCATCCGGACAACTCGTAGATACCGGCTAGGCTTCGACCCCGGCTAAATACAAGGAGCGTATGTCCAGAGCTCACGATATTGACGGAAAGGCCGAATGCCCGCGTGAGTTCCCATCATGACCGGCATCTGACCGTAAAATGAAATTGATAATGGCTGAACTTTGCGCAGCATGAACATCTCATAACTTTACTTAAATGCCTATAAACTACTCCAGAAAATCCGACGCCGGCGTGCAAAGTGGGCCCAAACATAAACCGGCCGCCGTCCCGGGAATCGAACTGGCCGCCCACGCGTCACGAACCTAACAACACCCCGCGGCGCTACGCATCCCAACGTATCAGGGCGTCGAGATAACTATCCAAAGCAAAATTATGGCAGCGATGCTCACCGCTGATTGGAGGCCAGTTCGCCGGCGGCTCAAATTTGCGGGATGTGATTTGCGGGTTGCATCGGGCCCAGTACTAGTTCTGGCTGTTGATTGGCGGAGAACGCGTGCGATTGGTGGCTTGTGTTTGGCGGAGAGGCGGCCTGGAATTTGCCATCGAAGCGTCTGCAGCCGGCGGTAGCGCCATGACAAAAAATGCGCGCAAATGGATTGGGCCAGCTTCTATCAGCATTTACAACCTAGGGTCAGGTGTATGCTCTTGCAAATCTGTCGCACCGCTGTACGTTTGAAGGAGGGAAATATTCTGTCTGCGCATATTTAAGGGCATGGGGAACAGAACTGCAACACAAATTTCACCTGAACCTATTCATCTATGGCAGACACACTGGCGGCATTTTGGTAGCATGGCTGCATGGTCTGGAAGCATGACATCGACGCAATAACACTGCAAACAGCACTCACCAAAAAAATCATTGTGATCTCCGATATTCCAAAACCGACATGACATTCTTTAGACATGCTTGAGAGGGTAATCGACGAACATATCTCAACGGGCTTATTCTCAAAGGTATTCAACACAACAAAACACCTCCATTTGTCATCAGACAATCCTTAACACGCGCTCGGGTGGGTGGTCAAATTGACCCCTTCGAAGGCTTTTCCAGAATGGTTCCCGAACGGCGCGGTGCAGCCGCTCCAAATTTTGCATAGCTGTGGGCAATTGAATAGCGGATCGTTTGTATTAAAACCAAATTATATGCACCTTGTAAGGTCGCTGACCTATGGCAGGTCAAGGTCAGGTCATGGGTTCGGCAAAGTCAATTTCTAGGCAATCGTTCAATCTGATGCAACAACGGAGTGTTAGGCGAGGCCATACATCCCTGGGATGCTTTCTTAGGTAACATAAATATTGAATGAGCAAATTGCGTTGACCTAAGGTCAGGTATAAAGGTCAGGCAAAGGTCGAAATCAGTCTGTTTTATCACTCTAGGACTTGCTGTATGGGATAATTTCTGGTGGTCACTTCAAATTTTTTGACAGCAGGAACCGTATTATGCATCTTTCATGAAATTCTTAGAGGTCAGAATAGGTCAGTTACCCGAAATCTTTGTCGGTTATCAAAATGCAAAACTAAGGGCAGCCTTGCATACTTTTGGTCAGGATTATCTCCAAAAAGTCAGACAAGGTCACGGACTAACTGCGCATGTGACCTTGTGCTTAGAAACAGTTATCTAGGTTCTGGCGGCATTTTGGAGACCAAACAGGAATTTGACCTTGTTTGATAATATTTGACCCGAAGGTCATGACCTGGGAACCTCAAATTTCGACCTAAGTGAGTTTACATACAGGTCAGTACACCCTGTGAATTGGGTGTTTCTAGCTTTCTTAGTTCCCGAGATCCCAGGGGGTCCCCCCACCCGAGCAAAGGGCATTTAGCTGGCCACCCGGGCACGTGTTAAAACAACAAATAATGACGTGCTTTGTGGTTGTGCGTTTGACAAACACCTGTGGTAATGATGTCGGATGTGGCCACGTTGAAAACGTGGCCACGCGCGAGTGTGGCAGGTCCTGTTACCGGTCCTGCGGGGGACGAAATTGTGGCAGAATATAATATACAGGTATCTCAGGTATTAGATACCTGCATTTGTGCAAGCATAGGTCTATGCTGTATCAGGCAAGCCAAAAATCTCCAGTGACATCCCCTATCGTCATATGATTTGGCAGCGCAAATGTGAGGCATTGGCGGGACATCTATGACCAGTGCTGCCAACGTACGCAAGGTAATGGTGTTGTGTTGTTTAACCAAACGTGTGGCTGCTACCTTTTAGGTTGGATTATTTCTGTCAGTACCACGTCTTCATCTTCTCATGCATATAACCGCTTCTGAACCTGTGATGGCAGAGACCAAGTAAACTCTAACAGGCAGCGTGATTCGGACGGAGTGGGACAAATGCCCCGAAAGCCCACTCTTCACTCCAAACTTCGTCAGCTTGTTAGCCATGGGCCCACCCTTCGTTGCCAGTCGTTGGGTGACCTCACCCATGGCTGTTAGAGTTATCATAAAGAAAAAGTATGCCAATCAGGCCATGCAAATCCGGGAGATGTGCGGCTATCTTGTTTCACGGAGCTACCCTGTGGTACTCTAGGTCAGCTGGTGGGTCAGGCCCAGCCCCGCCCAAGTACGTTGGTAGCACAACCACTCTACAGCGTATTTTTCCTACCAGTCCATAGGATTCATGCGCTAAGGGCCTGCTTTTCAAAGAGCTGTGAATCAACTTCTACCAGGCCAATTTCGACGAATTCAGCACCGAGCGAATGATGCCTAAATAGTCTTGAGCCTGTTCGTTGACCTTTTTTTTGTCTAAGACAGTCAAACTTCCACGACGCACCGGATCATGCACGGTACACCGTGAATTTTCCGACTTTCGCGGTAAGCCCAGTGAACTCAGCTCAACTGGTGATGTACCCGATCCATAATAGGAAGGGTGTGCTCGAACCTGGGGGTGGTCTAGAATTTTCCTAACAGTTTTCTTTACAATTTGCTAAATTGTTTGCTATTAGCCAATACATTCTGACAGTTTAATATATCCTCCAACTCCCTGAAATATTTTTGTTAAAGTCTGGGCGCAACATTTATTTAAATTTTGAATTCCTTCGCTACTGTAGCGCCTATGCCACGCTGCCTTCAGTTGCCGGCTGTCAAATATTTAGTACAAAAGTAGAAGCCTAGCCTACATTGCACACGTAGTCTATTTGTAACTTAAAACTGCAGTCTTCTGTACTGAAAACTACGGGATTTTTGTGCACGTCTTTTGTACTGAGCTTCGTTCTACCTACTATTTCTACTTCTACTACTTCTTCTACTACTACTACTTGACTCTGCTTCGTTTATCTATCATCCTGAGTCAGGCCGGCATGGACACGTATTATGAATGAAGTGTGATAATATTTCCATACCGTTTTACAGTACACCTTTTTGGATCGATGGGGGAGACACGTGCCAGTGTCACCTCCGGTATCCTCGTCTGTACAAGAATGATCACTCGGCTGTTAATCAAGCCAGGCAATGAGAAAGCTATCTATTTGTCAAATGACTCAGCCGCGTGTTCACCCAGAGCGTTTCAACAATAAACGGCAGGCACCCAGACTCATACACGTGACACATATGGTATGGCAGACTATGAACTAACTGAAAGCCAGCTGCCTGTAACGACAGCAACACGGCCACAAAGCGTTCGGCGTCCTCTGCGTGTACATACTGGTTTGTCTGCTTTTGAGCGATTCTGGCACGCTCGTCCGCAGTGTCAGCCAGCTGCGGCTTCCACTGCCACAGGTGGAACTCGATCGCCAGCTGTCGCACGCGCAGCAGGTCCCCGGAGGAGGTGAGCTGCTGGTGTAGCACCTCCCACTCGCTGCACTCTACGTCCAGCTTCACATAGTCGATAATGTCCTGCTGCAGCGGGATCAGCTGAATGATGGTGCCCAGGTTGGCCACTGGGAACCTCGCGCTGAAGTCGTCCTGCGCCCCGATCCCGACACCGTGGAAGAACACGCGGTCCGACCTGCGGAAGCCGGTGACGCCCATGGTCGGATCGAAGGCGTGCACGGTGCAGTCCAGGTCCTCCATCGCTAAGTCGAAGCTGAAGTCGTGGTTGGTGCCGAACGACAGCACGGAGCAGTTGGGCCGCAGCAGGTCCGCACACACAGCCTTCTCTCCATCTGCCTGCGGATGGACCCTGTCGCTGCTGCTGGCCCAGCACGCCAGGCAGCGACCTCCGACCAGGACGGGATGAGGGGCACAGCCAGTGGCGCTCGGCGGTGGTCAGCAGGCGGTGTAGCTGGGCGTACGTCTGGTCTGGGCTGGTGCCCCTCTTCAGCTGGAGGGCCCAAGGCGGACCAGGACTCGCGGCCTCTGGGCCATATCCTGCGTCTTCGACCGTGCTGGAAGGTAAACACGAATGGTGGTCATAACAAATTCATTAAAGTTAATGCGAGATGTTTTAAAACCGACGACAAACGGACAGACTGCGTTCTAAGCGAAGGTCTGCGGTGCTTATCATTACTGGCATGTATTTCATACTGTGCAATACCACAGAAAATTTCCCCATTCGCATGCCTGCTTCAAACATTTTCCACTCTGGCCGCCGCTTCCGCAGGACATCAAAACGCTGTTTTCTCAATAAGTCTCACAGGCTTCACGTAATGAACATAAGTCACAAAGACACTGTGTGAGAAGGAGACGTGCCAGACCTTACCCGTGTCTGCTCCGGCGTACCGTAGTGAAATACGCGCTAACAAGGATCAGCACGATGCATTTCTTGCCAGCTAGCCGTCTTAACATCCAGCAGCGTCTTCTAGCCGCCTTCCAATTCATTAGCGTGGTGAGGGCTATGGTGGGCTACCTAGTTGTCAAGTCTGGCTTCTGGCTGCAGCTGTAAACAATTCCATGCATCGTCTATAATCGTTACAGGCTAGCATCACTTCACAGTGGTAAAAGTTCTCCGGTCATGCCATATTTATTTTGGCAAAAAGTCGCTGAGTTTCCAAAATTTTTAACAAATCAGAATGCAGGTCCAAAAAATACGCACCCAGGTCCTGCATGACCCATGTACATGGTACCGTTGAAGAAATTGGGACCGACAAAACATATTTTTAAGGCAATATGCGACAAATGAGTTGCAGCATACTCACCTGCTTCGCCAGTTGTCTTTTGCTCTCTAATATTCTTATTAACATGAGACAGTCTGAAACATTCTTACCTTAGCGAGAACCCCGTGGGAGGTAAATGCCATATCACGGTACGTTCATTACAACAACCTTTAAACCCACGGTATCGTGGCCGGACACCAGGCATAAACACAACAATATTTTAGCTGTTTCCATCTTTTTGGGGTCAGAAAACTACTGTTTCTGCTCGCCTTAATATAGACAAAATCAGAAGCCAGTTAAAACGCCCGATTCCTTTCAGAGTCACCCAAACATTTAAACCGGAATTGGCGTAGAGGAATGCGGCCAACCAGACAGAATTTAGGACTGAGCGAAGCGTGATGCCTCGAAAAGCGATGCATAGTGGAGCAAAGCTGGAGTAGTCCCGCAAACGGGCGCGATCCGCTCACCTATACAGCTGCCCCGGGAGGTGCACGACGGCGAGCAGGGGTGGCACGACGCGGCGGTGCTGCCGCCGCCGCCGCCGCTGCGCCGCCGCCTCCGGGCGGTCCTTACTGCAGAGGTGCACAACGCGGCCTCGCGGCCCACCACCCACGCAACACGCGCTGCAATGGGCTGTCTGGCAGAGACGTGCGCTGGTCTGCTAGAAATGACAGTCAGTATGGGTACAAGGTAGGTGACATTGGGCATACTCTAGTAAACCGCGTAACGTTATGACGTGAAATATGACGATTATATCGGCACCGATAGCTGCTTCTTGTGACGAGCTCAATGGGGCAGTCCAGTCAATCAATTGGTGAATGGCGGAGCCTGTCGGTGTTCCTCTGCTGTCGTCCTCCTTTCCTCAGCGTAACACCTTTCTAGCCCAGCTCGACCATCGGACATTTGGACTAAATCGAGCATTGCCTTTGATCAGCGCTCACCCTCCCGTGTGCTTCAGCCCGGCGTGATTTGCGGGGATGTGTTTGCCTGCGTCGTATGTACAGTTGTCATGTTCACAGCGGACATTGGGTCTGTGTTCTGGCAGGTCTTCTGTAGGCGTGCATTCTTCTGTCTTGTAATAGGCACGAGAAACAACAACGTAAGCATGGTAGCTGCACACGTATGGCAGTGAATGCGTGTGCCACTAATCACTACAGTGCACGGAACCAAGAAGTTTAAATGAGCATGCTAGTTTTCACACAAAATTGTTCTGCTCCGCCAACACTAAGGCTCAGGGGTCACGCAGCGCCCATAGCCTCCTCACAGGGCAGCCATGGACCATGAATGGCGGAGGGGGGGGGGGGGGCGCCAACCATCGTCGTCCAGGGTCACATGGTGCATTGCTTTGAAGCCCTCTGCCGAGATGCTGACTTCCACTGTAAATGACTTTTAGGCGCTTGTCCAGCAGTGATGAGGGCTTCTTAACTTGTTGGTATATTTTAGCATAAACAAAAGTTGAAAATTACGCAATGGCACGAACTTATGACGTGATTGGTCGGGCAAATTTAGCGACTGACTTGTCGCACATCAGCAAACCACATACCCTGGTGCCGTAATCTCAGGCAAAAGCGAGGCCGGCGTCACTGACGATACGTGTCTTATCACTAGCTTTCTGGCTCTCTTACCAACATATTTGATAAATATTGCTGTGCTTTGCTGACTCTGAAACGATCAATCAAGCCAGAACTTTCCAAATATTCGAGCACTGCTGTTAATATTCGATCTTTGCCGATCTCACATATCCTATCAAACATTAGTGGTATCTTTTGAAACTGTATGCCGGGCTCAATATGAAACAAAAAGCACAAATAAGTCAAGCGCACATTTGTGACACTTTTCGCGTGCAGAGGTTACCCTTGTTACCTTTTGAAAATGTCCCAGGGGCGTTAACCAGAACAGCACAGTACCTCTAGCGCTGTGGCGTCGTGAGGGCTGTTAGGAAACGCGGCTCCCAACGTAGGAACGTAGGAGCATGGATGAAAAACCCATTGATCGTGATGCTAAGACGACAGGGACCAGCAGTTGAATGAAATGAAACATGTGATGTCGACGTGGCACTTAATTATCACAACGCACAGCGCATCTTTCTTTAGTGCGAAGAGCTGGTCTGCATGGGAAACGACTAAATGTTTCTACTGCCGTCTCACTACTCGAAATGGCATACAGCTACGATGTATGTTACCAACAGCTGACGCACAAAGAGCCCACATGTGTTACAGCTGGTGGTGGGTCCGAGTTTTGCACCTCTGTCCGCCGTCCATCCTGACGGCAAGAGGTGCGGCGCCTCGGGCGTCAGCTCCGCTCCGTGTGCAGAGTTCACCGGCACATGCTGGGGAGGGGGGGGGGGTGGGGGGGCGGGAGGGTGATGACCTGGGATGGCCGTGCTGGCTGCAGACCGGGGCTCGCAGCGAAGCGACCCATCGGCCGGCCAAGCAGTCGGTGCCGGCGACCGCGTGGACTGCTCGGGCATCCGTCGGCTCGCCAGACCAGGTAGAAGCACACGGATCACGCGACATCCGAACCCAACAGTCCTGTGTTCCGCAGGCGGCGGCGGCGGCGCCCAGGGCGATCACGTGCAGCCGAGGCCGGCCCGGCTGGGCTGACCGCTGCGGCATTATCCGTCACGGTAAGATGTGGATGTGATGCGGTGATCGGCCCCACGGCAGGCACGGAAGCGGCGGCAGAAGCCCGACGCCAGGCCTGCTGGCTGAGTCTGGATGGCGGCCGGTCCAGGAGCCAATGGCCTTGCCCCCCCCCCCCCCCCCCACCAGAGCCTTCCCAGCCCACGTGAATTTACCCCTACTACCATGGCAAGTGAGTTATTGGCTTATGTATCGCTTTTGGTGTTCACGTATCGGTTTTGGTGTTAATGCTTCGCCCGTATAGTGAGTGTTGTATTCCTGGCTCCCTGTTCATGGGTTACGGATAGAAAAGCGATCAGGCTCAGTCAGCGGGTGCGACGCTGGGTATAAAAGTCACCCTACGTTCACTTTGCCAGTACGGCCTTGTCTAATGGTGAGAGTGCATTCGAAATCTATTCATTTAAGGTAACGAAGTATTTCAATTTTTTGTGACTTCCGTGTTTAGAAGGCTGGTGCTGACAAGCTCTTCAAGTGCATAACAATCCAGACGTTTCGCCCAGTGCATGTTCATTTTTGAAGCGGCGAATGCTGATTTCCTTGTAATTGGGAAAAAGTAGCCGATGTCCTGCTTGGCATCGCTTTTGTCCTAGGTGGGGAAGCAAAAGCCTCTGCATATGTGTAGGAGACAATCCAATATATAATTGTCTCCGTGCATGATACTTGGTATTTGATACACATTCGGTAACACACCTACGATCGAGTTAGTATAAAAGCCTGACCCTCCCATCTTCCATCCGACTGCCAGCAAGATATTCAACGAATGCAGCGTGAAATGCCCTAATGATCGCAGCAGAATATTCCGGTCCTTTTGCAAGGCAACATACTGCATGATTATGATCAGGTTAGGCGTATTTTCTGCGCGTCTAGAGTTTCATTTAAGCACGAATGACCTCAGGCTCCAAGGATTCTTGAACTTCGTTCCATGTCGAGCATATCTTACTTTCTTTATTCCCGGAGGTGCTTTCAGGACTGCTGATTTGCTATATTTTGTGAAGAAGTTGGTCCAGCCATGTTGACTTGAGCACTCCAATTCTGATTTATTTCGCAACATTTCTGCTGTGAGATAAGTGGATGAATCATCTAGTATCACGCGAAGAAATCGCTTTTGCGAGTGAACTTCAACAATATAGAAGATAGAAATTGAACTGGGTTGTAATTAACTTGCCAGTTATCCGTTCAGAAACGCATTTTCAGACGCGGGCTGTTTTAATAAGCCATCGGCTCGGTCCCTTTATCATTTATGTAAACGAAAACTACTGGATACTGGCTCGAAGAAAAATGACAAGGTGCCATTCAAATGAATTGCGAAAATAGTCACGCTTCCAGCAGTGTTCATGGTCAAGAGTGTTTGACATTTACTTTGACCAGTGCTTGGTGTATGATGAAGGCCGGTTGTTTTCGGCACGAGCGCTTAAAATGAGTAAAAGGAGCTTATAGTGAGCCTTGCGACCGCACGTAGAGCGCCTAACCCCGGCCAACGAGCTACCACCCCTTCTCCTTAAACTACCATGTTTAACACCTTATCAATTATATTATGTCCGGGCATTAAGCACTTTCTGATATGTCACTCAACAGCCGTGGATGTCACGTTAACCATTGAAAGTCGCCAAAGTCTTGGACACGTGCGACAAAGCCAATGCACCGCAAGGCTAAAGAGCTTGGTGACGCCCATTAGCCGTTATCTGTCGTGATTTATAGCGCGAACAACAGAAGCCTACTCTGCTATGGATGCGGCAGTGTATTTTTCCTTTTCAGCTGGGGGTAACCCCCACATAGTTCCTTTGGAGGAAAACGGGTTGAGTTCGGTGAAGCGAAACAAGTGCTTTATTTAGTTTGGGGCTCACTTTAGCTGTTTCCCTGCTCAGCCATTCCCAAATTATGTTGCGAAACTTTACGCCTGAGCAGAGGCCCTTATGTGTCCAAACGCCAAACACATCAAACTTTAACACCGTGACGTGGTTCGGACTTCTTTCTTCAAAACCCAATCACATTTTATATGCACCTGTTCAGCACACTTGTCCAGGTAGATCGATGTCCGGAGTTCAATGGCTCCAGAGAAAAGTGATGTAACGGGCAACCCTCGTCCTCTTTATCAGCACAGTCAGGCCCAGACCATCTCAGCCTCAGAGGCCTGGGAAAAGGGCCAGGTGGCCAGGGTGGCATACAGTCTGGAATGAAAGCCATTCCCATACGTTGTCCATGGCTTCAAGAGGGAAGTGCACCGCGCAGCTCTTGTAGAGAATTCATGCGCTCATGTATTCAGTGCTGATTGCCGTTTATGTTGTTTTTCTACACCCCAGTAAACACCTGAAGATTGCATACAGGTTTTGCGTGATCACATCATGGGGGAAGTCTCATTTTTAAAGTTGGGCAGCTCTGCCGACATTGCTTGCAGTAAAGCCGAGCTGTGTCAGCTTCGCCGCACTCTCGAGCCTGATTGAGCTCCTGATGACTTTGCGCGACACCTTGCCAAATATCAGTGAAATTTTGTTATATTTGGTCACGCAAATTCCTGGATTGATCCAATTCTTCTGAGCTGGATGTGACCAAGTCGAATGATGGCGGGAGCTCGTGTATCTGCCGGTCAGGGATCGACAATGGTGCCTAGTCTCAGACGGCACGCATCCCAAAGCAAGATGAAAAGTATCGATGTGACCCTCGGTTACGTTGTCTTAAAAAAACATATGACAACATGGGAGATCACATGGTTGGACTGTAAAGAAAATGGACTACTTTTTAAATTTTTTGGTCGGATGCGACAGCTTTTACCCTTGATTGGAGCAAAACATTATTATTTGCATCTTAGCGGTCAGGGTTTTCCGTACCGAGATGACATGACTGACAGCATACACCGAAATGCATCTGGTA